GCAGCATTGTCTGCTGCTGCAGTAACACCATAGGCTAGCTGCAGCAGCAGCAACGAAAGCTGCAGCAGCAGCAGCAATGATAGCTGCAGCAGCAGCAGCAATGATAGCTGCAGCAGCAGCAACAACAGCAGCGTCTGCATTTCTTTTTGGCCCTCAGATCTAAACCCTAAACCCTAAACCCTCAAAACCCCTAAACCCTGAAACCCTAAACCCTCAAAACCCCTAAACCCTAAACCCTAAACCCTCAAAACCCCTAAACCCTAAACCCTAAACCCTAAACCCTAAAAGCAAAAGGAGCTAGCAAAACACTGAGGGAGGCGTACGTAGATGAAAGGCGAATGAGAAGTAAAAACAAATAAATAAAAAGACAACAGCAGACACAAAGACAAACAAAGACATAAAAATAATTAAAAAAGAAATAGAGATAAATAAAAGAGAGGCAAATAAACAATAAATATACAGAGGGAGACAAACAAAGACAGACAAATAAATAAAAACAAATAAATAAAAACAAATTAATAAACAAAGACAAACAAAAACAAACAAACAAACAGAGAGACAAACAAATAAATAAAAACAAATAAATAAACAAAGACAAACAGAGACAAACAAAGACAAACGGAGACAAACAGAGACAAACAAATAAACGAAAACAAATAAATAAACAAAGACAAACAGAGACAAACAAAGACAAAGACAGGAAGAGACAGAAGAACAGAGACAAACAAACAAAAGCAAAGATAAAAAAACAAACAGTAAAGACAGCGCGAAGGAGAGACAAACAAATTAAAATGTATAAAATAAAATAACATAAATAAAACAAAATATATAAAACAAATAAAATAAACACCAAATACTGTCCATCACCAAGTCGGAAAAAAAAGCAGCAGTGCACCTGCTGCTGCTGCTGCTGCTGCTGCTGCGTTGCTGCTGTTGCTGCTGCTGCTAGTTTGCAAGATGACGGCCCTCGTACATTAGCTTAAAATGGGCTGCCTTTCCATCTGCTGCTGCTGCTGCTACTAGTACTACTACGTGCAGCAGCAGCAGTAGCAGAAGCAGCAGCAGCTATTTCTACTGCTGCTGCTTCTGCTACTTCTTCTGCCGGCCGACTGGCACAAGAATACTTAAACAGCAGCAGCAGCAGCAGCAACCCCAACAGCAGCTGTTTGCTGCTGCACTATTCGTATTTGTAAGCCGTTCTATGCTGCTGCTGCAGTTGCTGCGGCTGCTGCAGCTGCAGCACCAGCAGGACGCGCGGTCTTGTGGTGCTGCAGCAGCAGCAACAGGTGCAGCAGCAGCAGCATCACATAGTAGCGGCGTTTATCTTTTTGCTGCTGCTGATCTGCAGCTGCCGCGGGGAGAGCAGAAACTCCTCTAAGAATCGCCAGTAATCGTTTGCTGCTGCAGCATCGTTGTAGCGGTGGCTGCGAGACAAACGAAATACCTGCAGCAGCAGCAGCAGCAGCAGCAGCAACAGTAGTATACGTAGCAGCAGCAGCACCAAGGGAGCACTTCCCAGCTAGCAGAATCAGCATTGCTGCACGGAGACACGAACTGCTTCAGGCAGCAGCAGCAGCAGCAGCAGCAGCAGCAACGGCAGCAGCACAGAAGGACCCTGCTGCCAGAACAGCAAGTATATATCTACCATCAGCAGGAGCAGCAGCAGCACGTGCTGCAGCAGCTAGAGTAGAAGCACCCGCAGCGGCAAGATCAGCAGCAATTCCAGCAACAGCAGCAGCAACAGCAACTCCAGCAACAGCAGCAGCAGCAGCAGCAGCATACTCGAACATTCCACTGTAGGATTTCTGGGGGCACGGAGTCCTCATCGTAGGCAAAGAAAGCCCCCCTTCAAACATACACACAAATGCAGCATGCATGCATGCAGCAGCAGCAGCAGCAACAGCAGCAGCAATAAACAGCAGCAACAATAAACAGCAGCAGCAGCACCACAACCACCAACAGCAGCATCATCACGACTACTGCCTGCAGCATCAGCAGCAACGGCAGCAACAGCAGCAACATCACGACTACCAGCAACAGCAGCATCAGCAGCAACAGGAGCAACAGCAGCATCAGCATCATCACCAGCAGCAGCAGCATCACGACTACCAGCAGCAGCAGCAGCAGAAGCATCATGACTACCACCACCAGCAGCAGCACCAGCATCACGACTATCACCACCAGCACCAGCAGCAGCATCACGACAACCAGCAGCAGCAGCATCACGACAACCAGCAGCAGCACCATCACGACAACCACCACCAGCAGCAGCAGCAGCAGGAGCAGCAGCAGGAGCAGGAGCAGGAGCAGCAGCAGCACCTGTAAGACTGAAAGAGCTCTACCCATCCTCTGAAGGGGAAGTTGTTTAGCTGCCATTTGATTTTATCTGCGCTGCTGCCGCCTAAGAAAATTCCGACGACAGCGCGAAAGTCTTGAGGGGTAAACTTTGAGGTGTATGTACACTCTACAACTTTGAAGCAATACTCTCTGTTGCAGATCCTTCTTCTTATCAATAAACCCTCAGAACCTAATGAAGACCCTAAGCAGCAACAGCAACAGCAGCAGCAGCAGCAGGAAAAGCAGCAGCAGCAAATATGCAACACACAGCATGAGGATTCGTAAATGAACAGCAGCAACTGCTGCTGCGGATGAAGCAGCAGCTGCAGCAGAACCAGCAGCAGCAGCAGCAGCAGCAGCTACACGATGATACTACAAATGAAAGAGCAGCAGTTGCTGCACTAACTACCATCAGCAGCTGCAACAGCGGCAGCAACAGCAACAGCAACGGCAGCAGCAGCAACAGCAGCAGCAGCAACAGCAGCAGACCTGCTGCTGCTTCTTTATGCGCCTGTCGCGGGTCAATGAAAGAACCCCCTTCAAGAAAAGCTTTGGCGTTGTCTCGAGTTAAAATGCAGCCGGGGCCTCCTGCTGCTAATGAAGGCAGCAGCAGCAAAGGGCGTCGCTTCAGGTGTACGCACACCTCATCTAATACGCAGAAACGAGGAGTTGCTGCAGCAACAGCACCACCAGCAGCAGCAGCAGTTGACGCAAAGCAAACGCAAGCACAACAATACCAAGTACGACAGAAACAGCAGCAAATGCGACGCTACAGCAGCAGCACCAGCAGCACCAGCAACAACAGCAGCAGCAACAGCAGCAACAGCAACAGCAGCAAACCTGGTGGTGCTCTAGGCCTCCCCATAGATGCTGCTGCGCCTGTGATGATTTTTCTTTGTTGTAAAGGTCTCGCAGCAGCAGGAGCCGTAGTTGCTGCAGCATCGGTGTTTGCTGCAGCAGCAGCAGCAGGACCAGCAGCAGCAGCAGCAGCAGCAGCAGGCTTGTGGGGTGTGAAGGTCCTGAAAGCAAAGACATCTAAGGGCCTCTTTGCCCTTCTCGTTCTTTCAACCTGCACTAAGTCAGCTAAAACCTGAGAGAAGGAGACTCCCCGGATCAGCACAGCAGCAGATCGCGACTGCAGCGGCCGCTGCAGCCGCAGCAGATTCAAACAACTCTTCTTCCCGCTGCTGCTGTTGCTGCTGCTGCTGCTGCTGTTGCTGCTGGTGGTTGTAGACTCGTCTGTTAGAGAGCACCAGAGAGAAAAATCTGCTTCGCCTTCAAACCACTGCGGCAGCGGCCAGCGGGGTTTGACCTGCTGCGCTGCTGCTGCTGCTGCTGCTGCTGCTGCTTCTGCTGCTGCTGCTTCTTGAGGGCCCTCAGCGCTGTCCTCTCCTGGCAGCCGCACAGGCAGCAGCGGATCTATTGCATAGACTTCCTGCTTAGAAGCAGCTAGAAGAGCTGCAGCTTCTGCTGCTTCTGTCTCCTGCGCGCTTGCTGCAGCAGCAGCAGCAGCTGCTGCTGCTGCTGCTGGGGGCGGAGGATGCGCCCCCGCGTGCTCTGGACCAGCCGCAGCAGCAGCAGCAGCAGCAGCAGCAGCCTTTGCATGTGGAGGTGGTGTAGTAATAGCACTTTGTATTTTTCCTCTCTCTAAGACATTAATATAGCGATGACCCTTCTCTGTTATTGTCAGATAATTATACGACTCTTTAGGAGTAGACAGCAGCAGCCAAAGATCAGCAACAGTATACACTTCCTTCTTCCTGCTCTCAAGCCCTGATGCTGCTGCTGCATTCATATAGCAGTTTCGCTGCAGCAGCACCAAACGCTCTTCACCCCCAACCTGCTGCAGCTCGCAGTTACCGGGCCCATCTTCGTATGCTGCTCTTAAAAAAGAAAGAGGATTCACATAACGCACGCTGCTGCTGCTGCTGCTGCTGCTGCTGCTGCTGCTGGAGGGGGGCCCGCCGCTGCCCGCGGAGGCAGCGGAGGCGGAGGGAAGCATGGAGGAGGAACCAAGAGAAAACCCCTGCTGCTGCTGCTGTTGCTGCTGCTGATGTTGCTGCTGCTGCTGCGGCTGCTGCTAAGTACCGTAGCCGACGGGGGCCCCTCTGCTGCAGCGCTCTGCTCTCGAGGGGCCCCCTAAAGGATTGAGAGTTAAATAGCGTAAGGAGAATATAATTAAAGATTAAAACAAAGAGAAAAGAAGAAATTAACAGAAAAAGGATCTGAAAGACTGCTTGGTAGCCTTGCACGCCCTCTTCTCTGCATGCAAACAGCAGCAGCAGCAGCAGGAACAGCAGCAGCAGAGCGGGGCCCCTCGAGCGTATTCTTTTTTGAGTTATTGCTGAGGCAGTTATATTGTTAAAAATAATAATATAAATAATTCTTTTTATTTCTGCTTTATGTTTATATTAATTAATTTTAAACAAAGTTTTACAGCCCTAACACTCTAACTACACCCTTTTGTTGCAGAGAGCGAGCAGAAGACAGAAGAAAAACAAATAAAATAAGTAATAAAAACATAATTAAATAAATTCAACACACAGACGCACACCCCACACTTCAGCTGTACGTACACCTCAACACGCTGCAAAAATATGCAACGCTTCGCCTGCCTCTGACGTCGTACCTACAGAGAAATGCAAGCCTAATATATATATATA